CATATATCTAAACATTTTTAGGGGCCGGGGAGATGGCTCAGTGGAATAAGCGCTTCCCTGGCAAGCGTACGGGCCTGAGTTCAATCCCCAGTTCTGGGAAAAAAAAAGGAAAAAAAAAAAAAAAAGTAAACTAGAGCTTTTTTAGTCAGGCCGGGGAGACAGCTCAGTGGAATAAGTGATTCCCTGGCAAGTGCAAGGGCCTGAGTTCAGTCCCCAGTTCTGGCAAAAAAAAAAAAAAAATTTAGTAGTTAAAACTTAGTACTTTAGGGTTGAAAGATGATGAGAGATATAATAGCTATATTTTTATGCTAAATTAATAATAATATAGTACAGAAAATAAACATAGCTTCATTATTGAGCATCAAGGGCCAGGGATGTAGCTCAGCAGCATATTTGCTTACCTGGCAAGCGCAAGGTCCTGAGTTCTATCCCTGTTGCCACAAAAAAAAAAAAAAAAACTGAGAATCAGAGATGTAGGACTCCCAAAACATGCAACGCATTCAAATTCAGTATCTTCTTAAAGAACCCCTTGAATTTCTGCCCTCTTATTTCCTCTGAAGATGGGCCCACCTAACTGGGAAACATGGCTCTTCACAAATTTTAAGGCTTCTTATTTATTTTTAACAGAATTTCATAAGACATTTGCAATGAGCTGCATCATTTTAAGTTCACTTAAACTTACTAGAACTGTATAAAAATATCTTAATTATAAATATTATTTGTGTGAAATATTCAGAGAACTCTGAGGCTAAACAACCTCTCAGTAGACTTCTGCAGATAGTGTTTTCGGCAGCACTTTGAGATACGACTGTAGTGAGCCTTCCAGTTTCATGCTGAGCAAGATCTCCAGGTAGACTTTAAAAACTTGCCCATCAGCAGATTCTGAGGATTTAAAGATTACCTCCCCATAACCAAGTGCAGAAGCCAGACTTATATTTGAACATGGTTAAATCCTTTATTATACAGCTGAGAGTTTTGTTTTGTTTTTTTCTCCTTATGCCCTACAATCGTATCTTTCAATTGTGTGTCTCCTTTGTTGATTTTATAGGCCAGAGGAAGAAAACGACAGAAGGGCTGGTTCCCTGCCAGCCATGTTAAACTTCTGGGTCCAAGTAGTGAAAGAACCACACCTGCCTTTCATGCTGGTATGAAAGTGGATTAACTTGTATTTCATTAGAGAACTTTGCTAAAATTCAGCAGCTTCTTAAATTATCTTTGAAAAATAGGAGAAATTTTCTTTCTCTTACTGCTGCTTTAAAAGTAACATGCCACTGAGAACTTCCCTCTGAAAATTTCTGTGTAAAAACAACCAGATGCTTGTTGATGCTTAAATTTTTTCCCTCCTTGAAATAATTTCAACCTGGGGAGGAAAGCGGTTCCCTGGGATTGCTCACTGGAGTTGTTGGTTTTGTAAGACAAGGAATGAGGTAATAAGGGTAGGGAAAAGAACAGTTCAAGAAAAAAATGTAGTTACTTTAATACTTAATATTAAAGTAATTTAAGTCCTAGGGATAGTTTTGATCCCTAAAGAAATAATTAATTTATTCTTTTGTTCTTTTTATTAGTGTGTCAGGTGATTGCTATGTATGACTATGTAGCAAACAATGAGGATGAGCTCAATTTCTCCAAGGGACAATTTATTAATGTTATGAACAAAGACGACCCTGACTGGTGGCAAGGAGAGATCAATGGGATAACTGGTCTTTTCCCTTCAAACTATGTGAAGATGACTACAGAGTCAGATCCAAGTCAACAGTGTGAGTAATACCCAATTATTTACTTCTCATCTGATATGGCAACTCCAGTGTTCAGTGTAACATTTATTACTGCTGTGAATCTTGAACTCAGCACAGACAACAAATATTAATGTTTTCAATAGGACAAAACAAAAGGAAATATTTTACAACATCAAAAGTGATGCTGCTTTATTTTGAATATTTTTTGCTAGCTTCCAGTCTTTTTTTTTTTTTTTTAGCTTCCAGTCTTAATATGAGCTTGTATCTGAAACATGCATAATTGCTCTCATGGGTCCTTTGGTGTAGTAGCCATTATACTGTAACTGCCCTTCACCACCAGCCTTGTGCCACCACCCATGTTCTTTTTTAGCTTAAAAAATAGCTAATACTAAAATTGCCCTATTCACCTATTCAGAATGATCCTTTAGTATTCAGATGCCATTAATTTTACAGCCTTCTCATTTATTTCCCTCATGCTTACACATCATCATCCAGGTTGGAAAGAAAATAACCTGTTTTAAGCATACATGAAACCCGCAGAGTGATTCTTTAGAGAGCTGCCTCATGCCGCATAAAGATACATAAACCAAGGTCTCATTATTTTCACAACAGGGGTCCAAATCTGAAAGGGTTATCTTTTAGTAATTACCCGAGAATAAGTAATACTTGTAAATAATTTTTAACTTTATAAAATATCACTTTTTTCATATTCTTTAGTTTTAGTTTTATGAAATAGGTCATAGTTGATATATTTTTATCACTCTAGTGAAATTTCAGAGAAGTTGAACCTTTTGTTTTAATTTAGTTGGTAAGAACATATACATGTAACGCAATGAAAGCAGATACATTTATGACTCAGTGTCAGGGCCATGAAGTTATTTTATACCATCTCTGTAATTTTATACCTTATTTTCACCTTAGAGCTTGAAAGCTAGTTCTGGGGGGAGGACTTTCCTTTAGAACTAAATTTTCCAGTGTGGAGATAGGGGAGCCTTGTTTTTATAGTTTGAGTATACTCAAAAAGGGTTCAAGGTTTCAGAAGTGGTAAAGAAATAACAGCTTGTATTGTCTAATGAGAGACCGTTTTTCAGCTTTGGTAGTGGTTTTGCTATTTGTAGTGATCAGTTGGAAGTCAATTTAGATCATTTGAGAATTATCTGCTACACCTCTCTGGGAGCTGGTAGGAAAGACATTTTTCAGGCCTACTGTATCTGGGAAATCTTTGACCTGTGATCCCAAACGTCATTCCATTTATCAGTACCTTTTGGTTTCTGTAGAATCTATACCATAAAGTGATGGTTTTTAAAATATGTTGATATTGCCTTAATGACAGCCTCTTGGGAAAGTCACCTTCCTGGAAATTGAATGATAACTTCTCATTCTTAAAAGAAACAGTAGTAGGTTGTCAGTAAATGTTTGACACAGAAAGTAGATTGACATGAATTAGTTATTGGAGGACAGGCTTGTCAGACAAATTACTGTTGGCCAGAGAATGCCTTGTTTGCTGTTTTAATATGGCTGGAGCCGGCAGACTCACTGCCTGTTGATGAGGGCCCCATGTAAGCACTGCCAGATCTAATAGAACCTTCTGTGATGAAGAACAGTCTACACTGTCCAACACAGTGGCTACTAGCCACATGTAGCTTTGGAGCATTCAGAATGTGGCTGATGTAACTCAAACTCAATTTTAATTTAGTTCATTTAAAGCAAAATAGCTACTTGTGACTGACAGCTACTGTATTGGACAGCACAACTCTAGAAAAGAACCAGTTTTAAGCCCTGCCTGAAGTAAAAAAAAAAAAAAAGGAAGAATATTGAAAAAGAAATAAGAAGAAAAAGAAAAGTTGCCCTGCAATCACATCTGACCTACACAGTCATTTTAAAGGAATAAAATTCCCACATGCTTTGTATTTTAATTTTTATGTTTTTTGGGGGGGGTTATGTTAACATTCACTGTGCCTGTTCAGTTAGATTTGTAAGTATGTTCTGTCAGTGACGTAAGCGCTAGAAGCATCAACACGAAAAGACTGTCCTTGCTCTGAAGTAGTTTCAGAGTTTAGAGGGAAACAGATAGTCGGATCAGTATAATTATTGCTTTAATTACTGTTTATACAAATATGTGTTGGGAAAAGATTCTCTAAAGCTGTGTGGGGAAGAAGGCATGTTGCCATGGGAGACGTCAGAAAGGGTATTCAAGCTGAGAGACAGAGATAAATTGTGACAGTTTTCTAGAAAAACAGATGGGGATGGGAGGACATGCTGATTATTTCCTTGATCATTTCATATATTGAGACCTGGGCAAATAGAACATTCAATGGATTAATTCAAAGCAAAAATAATTTCAGAGTTCCTTGTTACAAAACTATTAGCAGTAACTTGCCTATGTACCTTGTTTAGGACTGATGTATTTTTTCAGTTTGATCATCTGTGAAAACTAAATATTGTTTTGCCTGAGTGACTAAAGGTTTATCATCCATCCCAGACTAAAAGAGTTCTTAATTCTTTGATTCTTAGGGAAATTCTTATAAAAACAACCACTTACATACTCATTTATATCACTTAGGAGACCAAGTAGTACCAGTTTTGCTTACTTGAAATAATTACTTATTAGAATTGAATAATCCCACTTCTTTTAGATATGTGCAATAGAGCTAATTGTATTAGTAGCTAATACAGTAACTCACATTAAGTTTATATAAGCCTATAATTTTAATGGCATGTGGTTCATAAAATGATTAATCCTTAAAGTCAGGAATTGATATGAAATCTTTATCACACCTACCTAAGTTTTTACAAGTGAATCATCTGTTCATAGTCTTTGTATGAGCCGTTAAGAGCTGGTTACCTACAGATTACGTTTGTGTTTCCCTAAGGCTTATGAGTATTTCTTCCATTTTATTGTGTGACTAGAACGTTTATAAAGGTTGAAAACTTTTGAGAGTAGTTTGAATTTGTTGAGTTGATGTTGCATGTTATTATGGATCAAATTTTTCTTACCCACCTAATTTATGTTATGTTCATTTTATTCCTCATTTTTCTTTTTTTAGGACCCAATGTTGTCTTCCAGTTGTGAAAGCACCCCAGAGACCCACTATCCAAGTTTGACTCTAGCCTGGAGGCAGGGCAGGCAGCCCTGATCAAATATCTCCTACACAATTCAGTTACTTCGATTGAATGTTAGAGCCACTTGTGATTATTTCTTTGTGTTTCTAATTTACAGTTAAATTTTATTTGTAACAAGTTCAAGGATAGTGGGTCTTTGTGTGGCTTTCCCTTCTGTTCACTCTGGCATCCTTTAGCATTTTTCTTCTTTTTTAATTTGGTAATTAGAGGTCATTAGCATGCATATTGAGTTTGCCCCTACATGGTGGGAGTTCAAACACACAAAGACCCACTATTTGCACAAACTGTTCTGTCTGGTTCGGAATGGGCTACTGTGCTTTTCTAATGTTACTGCAACATGTATATTCATTACAGAATTAAGATGATGTTTGCTTATGTTCTGCTGTTATGTTTGATCTAACCCTAATCACAGTGCACTCTTAATTGGCTCATTCTGCAGTCTGCCCTCAAGTACACACTGTTTTCTTTGTTACTTTCTAACATGCCATGATGAGTATCAAGATTTAGATTTGTTTAAATGCCAAGAACTGGAAATGACCTTTTCTCTATTTTCTGTGTAATCGGACTGGAGCAATAACGTTTGTAGGGAGCTTCTCTTTTCTCATGGAAGAGGAAAGTGGCCTACAGCGGCAGGTGTGCACAGAGTGGGATATGTTAAGCCTATTCAAATTGCCCAAGAGTATGTGCTATACTTTGGAAGTTCCTTTAGGATCTTTATGTGCTCTGGGCTAATGAAGATTCTGCGTCATGTGCTGTAGCATATGTGTTACTTCTTTATTGATAAGCTTAAGATACTGTTCTTCAGAAACGAAAGGTATACATCGACTGCCAGATATGCACCCCTCTCTAGCTGAAGCAGAGCACTTATATCTATATACTAAAATCAGAATTCATGTTATATATTGCAATCAGGTGACTACAGGTCCCAGTAAACAAAGGGACACTGATTGGCATTCCCAATGTGCTTAGAATAAATCATAAGGTTTCCGTGAGGGGTTTGAAGTGCCCCTGAAACAAGCAACAGGCTTTAGCTAAGAGGATGCAAGAGTAAAGGCAGAATGCCTGCAGCCTGCATTCCTCTGTGTTCTACAGCTTCTTTGAGGCCAGGAGATTGATTTTTACCATCCCAGCTCCCAGCTGACCTCTGCTGTTCAACCACATCAGCTACTTGTACATAGGATTTTCTTTTTCTTGAAAGGAGAACACTTTAGAAATAGCAGGCACTGTTATAACCTAATATATGACAGTACTTAACTGAGATAAAGGGAGTTTTAATAGACAGTATTAAACTGTATTTGAAAATCAGTGAGTTTATGCAATTCAAAATGTTTACAAACTACATTGCAATCTACTGTTTGTGATTAAGTATTATCAGGAAAAGTGTATATACAATCAGAGTCTTATCTCTTCACATAGCTCTTTAAAAAAGAAAAATATGTTTTTATATCTCAACTTAAGTTAGAAACATTTTGTGCAATATTTATGTTAATGTGCCTATACATTATGAATGGAGATTAGTTCAGTCATACATTGCTTAAATCATAATTTCACAAAACTTGAGAAAAATTAGCAAATTAGTTAAAACTTCACAAAGTTCAAATATCTGTGTTCCAAATTATTGGGTATAGGGAGATATATATGTGTGCTTTCTGGGGTGGGGACTTCTGATTACTAGAGCACCTCTTTTTATAGTATTTGACATTGTCATTGTGCTTTTATAAATAGGACATTAATAGGAACGCAGTAATAATCCTTTTACACATGGGTAACAGATTTGCCTGCAATCACTAAAAGAGACTGAAACATTGAATTCTTGTGAATTGAAGTGACTTTTCAAAATTATGTGATTATAGGGCTTGCAAGAAAGCTCAGCAGACTAAGTGCCTGCTTAGGCAAGC